AGGCAGCAATTAAGATTGCCAAGAAACTGATCAAGAAAACTTTAAAAGAAGGACCCGATCTATACCTTGCAATTCTCGACTGGAGAAACACACCAAACGATGCAGGACACAGCCCAGCACAACGGCTGTTGTCTAGAAGAACAAATACACTTTTGCTAGTAACAGAAATCCTTCTACAACCACAAGTAGTTACTGGAGTCTCAGAACACATTAAAAAAGAAAACAGATATCAAAATTACAGTACGACAAAAGTGCAACAAAGCTACTAGAACTTGTCATCGGGGAAACTGTGAGACTCCGGCCTGAAACAACAACCAGGAGTGGCAGACAGCAACCTGCACGAAAAAGGTAGGACCTCGTTCTTACTTAGTAGAAACTACAAATGGCAAAGTTTATCGTCGCAACAGAAAGTTTCTACGCACAACGCCAGCAAGAGACATTGCTAAAATAAAATGCCAACAGTTGCACCCGACAAATCAGACATCACATCCACAACGGACATCCCAGTACCAGAAAGACCAAACAGAACAATTGACAAGAGCACAGTAAACCAACAACATCCATCAACTGGAAAACAAACAGAAGTTTCAACACCAATCATACCAACTCGGCCCAGAAGAACCATAACAATGCCAAATCGATTCAAGGACTTTGTAACAAAGTTCTAGCAGGGAGTTTTTCCTATGTTCGTGTTAATATTTAAAAAAAATAAAAAATAAATAAATAATATACATGACCTAGATATCAACAGCATCATAAAGAGGATGGCTGATAGAATTTATATGAAACTACAAATTGGCACATAAGAAAATAATTCAAACAGGCATATAGGGAATTTCTGTTTATTAATACTGTGATCACATAAACATGCAAGTAATTATGCTATAGTTCAAAATAAATAAATAAATAAATAAATAAAAATAAATTTAAAAAATAAAGAAAGGGAGATGTTGTATGACGTACATAACTTATTCCCTGTTGTCACATTCAGCCACCGTGTGGCGCTGTTTAGCGTTGAGTTGAGAATAAATCGGTTGTCAAGCAAACGGCGATTGAGTTATTACAATCTGGTTTTAGTGTCTTTCATTATATTTGTTATTGTAACAAACAACAGGAAATGCTCCCGGGATCACCCCGGAAGTAACCCGGGTCGATTCTGCCTTTGGCAGTGTAAAAGGGGTATTAGTGACAGTGAGTGCTTAAGACCCGTAATCGATCTTACAGCCTTATATTCATTAAAGGTTACATATTATTATTCTTCCCTAATAGACAGGTTGAGATCTATCACTGTAACGGGAATCGCCAAAATATTTTACAGGGTCGGCGGACGATTAATATTTTCGGAGACTGGTAATAGAAATTGTCATGACTTCCTTTCCTTGTGCAAGTGTAACTGTGTATGAAGTAGCGTTTAGTTTTTCTCTATCATATTGACTTTGATTCTTATGTTTACTTCTCGTCGTTTACACCTAACTAAATATTATTGTTACCTGCAGGCGTCCATACAACAGCTCTCAACCAAACGTGAAGTTACATGCATAATCGTAACAAAAACACGGCATTTTTTTTTTCAGTCATACTAAGTGTGTTCAACTTATTAGTTCGGCGCACAATCGATGTTTGTGCAATTTCACCCATCATATATTCATTAAATACCAGGGATTTATAGCCTAAAAACTCTTCGCCAGTAAAATCTTGGGTCTACTCATAATAAAAACAAGTCTATGTTCAAGTTTTTATTTTTAATCTGTCATATTTAACTGATCTAAGACTACCAATGTTTTGGTGTTTGTCGATTGGTTGGTAACGGATTTAATTCTAGATCTGGGTGGGGTTCACCTCTACTTCACATTAGTCCAGTGTTGTGTTTTGGCCTTCACTTTATTAAATAAAATATTAATCAAAATGTTTATTGGTGATCCGCTTCACGGGCGGATCACCTCTTGTTATTGTCAGATATCATCTTCTTATTCTTCTTTCTTTCTAACCATATTTTGTGCGCACGATATCTCAAAATTGGCGCGAGCTACGCACATGGCAGCTTCAACGAACATTTGGCTTGGCCTGAAATAGCCACAATAAGGTTTTCAATGTGCTCAGTCATGCGTGACGTCATCTACACGCAATTTTGCGTTTTTACATTATCGATCATATCCAATTGTCCTAACCAATTGTCATTTCTAAATCATATTCAGTAGTCATAAACTTTAAGTCAAGGTTGAATATCACGTACCGAAAAATTTGCGTAACACGCGCACGCGTGCGTCAAAATTTCAAGATGCTTAGAATCACTTTTTGACTAAATTCGAGCACTATCAGGTCATTTCTAACATTTCAAAATGTTTTGACATTTTGACGTGCGCAGCACGTACGGAAGCTAAAGATTATGTTTTTTTTTTTTTTTTACATATTTTGGGTTCCTGACATTGTTTTCACAAATTTCCATTCTTTACGGTCATCTTATGGCCAATAGCAATGCCGCACGCGTGCACCAAACATAGGAATCTTTGCACGCGATTGTGCCGATATACAGTGAAAATATGCTAAAATCAGGCCTATTTTTAATCTGTTATAGCTCCTTAGGATGAAGGTGACCCTCAATTTTTATTATATTTTCTGAAAGCACATGAGTTGTAAATATGTTGATGATTGGACATTGTGACGTAATCATATTGCCATCTAAATACAATAAAACTGAATTTTATCTATAACGTCATTTTTGAAAATACGCATTTGAGCGTATCTCGCTTATCCTTGATCAATCGTCTCCCAACTTTGAGTACGTTATATCTGAGACAGATTTCTTTCATATATGATTTCTTTTACATTTTGTTGACGTCATCATGGTCAAAATAAATGTATTTTATGACCCTCCTCATCTTTCGTTCCTCAAAATTTCGATGACCATATGTCATCCTAACCAGTCGTAATTTCTGAATCATATTCAGTGGGCATAAGTTTTAGGTCAAGGTTGAATATCATGTGCTTTAATTTGTCTGTGCGCGCGTCATAACCTGCGCATATACGTGCGTCAAAATTAAAATATGCTTAAAATCATGCCTATATTTAATCAGTAATAGCTCCTTAGGATGAAAGGTGAATCTAATACCACATAAATAACATATTCAGAACTATCTAAATATTTTGTCATTTTCTGCAACGTACATGAGAGCTAGCCCTCTGGTTATTATATGAAAGTTAAATATTTCTTGATTTATGAGAAGAGATAATTATGTTGACTTTGCATAGTTACCATTAAAATAAAAATTACTTTCCTTAGCTTGATTTTCTATAATACATATTGTTATTCTATATTTTATTAATGATTCATAAAACCTTAATTACATGAATTATAGACCTATTTAAATTATGTAAAAATATAATAACATTTCTATAGCAACATTTGCTATGGTGATGACCTTGCTTTCATACTCAATACGATATTTGATAAACATTTCAATAAATCCTTTACTAATTAGTATTATTAAACATTAGGTCTTCATTATACTTATTTTATGAAAAATTAGGAAATTTTAATTTGCATAGCATAGTTGCTATGGTGATGACCTTGTATTTTATACACCATTGAGTTTACTTTTTTCTATAAAAGCTGTTTATCGTATACAAAATATTGCATAAGCTAATCTAATGATATTTCACTTGAGACAAATAATAACAGCAATTAGGCCTATGTGAATTAGGAATTTTTACATTATGCTCTTCTATAATATAATACATAATTTAAATACAAAAATATTCATAAACCTATGACAATGATGATTACAATAAGCTTTAAGCATCCCTAATACTTAAATTTCATGAATAAAAAAGAGGAAAATTAAATTTGCATAGCAACGGTTGCTATGGTGATGACCTTGTATTTTATATACCATTGAGATAACATTTTTTCTACAAAAGCTTGTTTATCGTATAAAAAATATTGTATAAACCAATCTAATGATATTTCACTTGAGACAAATAATAACAGTAATTATGTAAATTTCACTTCAATGTAGTTGTTCCTTGATTTTTTTCCCTACATAATGCGCTTCTATATATAATAGATAATTTAAATACAAAAAAAAAATGTTTTCATAAACTTGTGACAATGATGATTTCAATACGTTTTAATCATCCCTTTATACATCATTTTCTTGAACAAAATAGGTAATTTAAATTTGCATAGCAACGGTTTCTGTTGTGTTAACCTTGTCTTGTATACATAATGTGTTAACTTTGTTCAATAAGAGATTTTTATTATATAAAAATTATGTATCTCTTGATTTTTGCTTGGTCATTGACAAATGTACAGCAATTCTGCAGATTTTTTTTTTGCTATGGACGATAAAAATAGTGTTGCTACGCAATGCATCAGAAGTTTCTGGAGTTGTTTTTTTTATATAATCCTATTCTATCACAATAATAGATAATTAAGATATTACCAATATGTAATCACAATAGCAACGGTTGCTATTGTGATTGAAATTATTGTTTTTGTTAAGGCAAGATTTATTTTCGATGATAAACGAATATTTTGAGTAAATATCACAATTGTTGATAATTATTATTCGAGTAATGTTATTTTTTATATAACTGAGATAAAAACTATAATTTAAAGTGGAAAAATGGCGACCATTTTGAATGCATCATTTGGAGGTGTTCCCTAAAGAGATTTTAGGTAATTTTAGTTCTGAGCTTCTCAAGACCAATATTTTCAGATATCAAAATTAGCCGGTAGTACTTCCATAACCACCTCGACGATTTTTAGAGGAGGTTTGGCCATAATCTGCTCGCCTACCCTCTCCTCGGGAGAAAAAAAAACACAATTCGTCAGGTATACAAAAAATTACAGTATAAAAAAGTACGGTATAGTAGACTATAAAATCGATTAAATTTTTCCCAAAGAGTTTGAGCGATTACCGACCAAGCCTAATTTTACTCTCGTCGGGGACATCGGCCCCATTCCTATCGCGAAAAATCTAGGTGTGTTAATTTCTTACCAGTAGATGACATCATGACAATTGCTGTTCGTGACATTGTGCCATTTTTCTTTGCTTCTAATGAAAACACAGTGGGATAATCAAGGAATTTTATGCCAAGCCACTTAAAGGCAATATATTCTTCTTTTTTAAGTACGTGGTTTATACATTTGGCTCCTCCTGAAAATACCGTATCACATACGTATGTGCCTGCATCAGCCCAAGTGACGTTCCTGAGGCCTCGGTCGTCGTTCAGTATATCTAACGTTATATCTTCAGTTACATCATCTATTAAAGTGTATCCACGTACTTCTACTTCTCTACCACTATGTGGTATTGAAAGGTAAAGTGTATCCAGTACACATTCTAAATGAAAATATAATAAATGTCAATAAAATGAGCTCAAATTTATTACTATCATCATTATTATTATGAATCGGTTTTCCAAGCCAGTGGTTTTCATTTTCGGCTAAATACTAAGCAAATGTCCAGGAATTTAGGTCCGTCCAACCCACATTCCACTGGGTCTAAATAATGGGAAACAGGACGTCGTATCCTAGGCTGGATTCAAGGGTAAATCCGGGGGGGGGGAGGGGTAGATGAATTACAAGTAGAACCAATGTGATTTTGAAGATCTTTAAATATCAATTTAGGTTCGATATTGAATTTTGCGGAAAATCTCAGACTCGAGATGTTTACAATAGACTGAACTACATTTCTATTTAGTTCTGATTTAGTCCTAGCCTACTATACACTGTTGAACAATCCCTAATACAAGTTGTTAGTCCTACCTACCTGTGACCAACACAGTGAATTGAAAGAGGAGTATCCTCACAAATAATGCAGCATTGAAGCCCATTGCTGAAACTTTAGTCTATCTGACTTGTAACTAAAATCCTACCTTACGCAAAGCTATCCAATTTTTTAGAAATCTAACTTAAAAATCATATTTTACTTCCTGAAACCTTTAACCTTATACGCCTAACATGTTTATAAAAGCATCGGGGCATAAACAAATGCAGCAGTAAGTATTGTGTTAAGGCTTCAAAATAAAAATGACGTCATTTTTCGCGGCTCTTAGGTAAACTTATTGCATTACAGGGAAGTAAACATGCATGAATAAAGGTATTACTCACAGGGGGCAATTTTATAAAAGTTCGTCAAGATCTATGAAGAAGCATTAGTTGTAGTACTATCGATTTTAATATCAGGATGATATCATGAAGAAATTTAATTTACTCTAATCATAACGTCCTCCTTATATATTAATTTTGCATACAGGGTAAAAAGCTAAATCAGTGGTTAAATAGGCCTCTATTTGCTCCCAAACACAAAATGCACATTCAATCTACCATTTTAATTTGCCTTTCGAATGACCGACAAACTAGTTAATAATTCCAAGATGGTTTTGAGGTATGGTTTTGATGCGTTTTGTGCTACGGCATGAACGAGGAAGTTCCCCCTCCAATTCACAACCATTTTAGAACTTGGGTTCCGTCTTCAATTAGAATTAGGGACTTTTCGAAATCCGACGGAAACGCTAACAGACCGTATGCAAATTAGAATGTTTAAGTCGTTGAGATCGGTCGACTAGAATGGTAAATCATTTTCGATTGGCTGGTGAACGTATGCGGATGACGTAATATCAAAACATAAACATGGAAGGAAATCAACAAAATGAATTTTTATATGCGCTTGATATTATCGACGAAGAAGAATTACTTCTTCTCTACGATTTAAATAGGTCAAAAAATCTGACATTACCTTATTGGCGATACAAACGGTTTGAATTTGGAAAATTTGGAAGGCGATGAATGTGAAACCTACTTTAGGTAAAAGTTCATCTCTCCATGAACGATCGTCGATCTTATGCCTAGGCCCTAGCGTACGTCCTAGTACGGTAGGACAGCTAGGCTAGGCCTATTTAGGTATGTTTATCGAATGTATTATCTTTCACACACAACCAAGACTATATTCTAAAAATATTATCTTTATTAGCACTATGTGCACTGCTAAGAAGATGTGCATATCCGTGTCTCAATGCAGACTTAATTCGACCTTTGTTTGGCCGTTCTGTCCTAGGGTTGTGTAAGGCAACTTATGAGGTGTTGGAATTAATCTACAACAACTTTCATCACTTATTAACGTCTCTGGATCAACCTTGGCTGGCACCACAAAATTTGCAAAACTTTGCTGATGCAGTACATGCAAAAGGTGCTCCACTAGACAACTGCTGGGGATTCATCGATGGGACAGAGACCCGTCCAGGAGAACGACAAGGACTGATGTACAATGGACATAAGAGTTCATGCCATTAAGTTCCCGTCGGTTGCCACACCAAATGGACTTATTGCTCATATGACTGGCCCTTTCTTGGGAAAACGGCATGATAGTGGTATGCTTGCAGATTCTGGGCTTCTCCAACAACTCCAGCAATATTCAGTTGGTTCTACAGGCAATACTCTATGCTTATGGTGATCCGGCATACCCGTTACGACGTCAACTTCAAGGCCCATTTAAAGGAAATCATCTTACAGATCTTCAGGAACAATACAATACTAACATGAGTTTAGCGTAGAGTGGACATTCAATGAGATGGTAAATTATTTCAAGTTTTTATATTTAAAAAAAAAATCTAAAAATGAATCTGAGTGCCGTGAGAAAAATCTAACTTGTGTGTGCCCTCCTCACAAATGCACACACGATTCTTTATGGCTCGGTCACAACATCTGTCGTTGGGGTAGACCCACAAACGTTAGATGAGTATTTTCAGTTACCACCATTTTAGAGTGGTTGTTAAAAAATTAGGACATCATAATGTTACTGTTTCTAAATATTTATATTTAAGCAACATTTTTCCCTAATAAAAAAAATATTCACCTTATTATAAGGATAAGGACATCCCTCTCTTTCTAAGCCTAGGGCCTAGCCTACCTATTAATTATTTATGTCAAATGTATATTATTGGTGAAGTAAATTTAAAGAAGCCAAATTACAAACAATTTTACTTACCTTAATCTAGTAGTAGGGCCTGGGCCTACTCTGTTCTATCACATGTATATCTATTCTAATTGTTTGTGAAAGTAGCCTAGGGCCTCATGACAAATAAGATGATGCCTTTGCAATAATGTATCCTATCCAATTCAGCAACACATTGGTAACTGCTTTAGTGCTAAATAAATAAATAATTATATGACCTCCATCAATGCTGTATAACAACTTTTCTTCAAGTACTCTATTAGTAGAAGTAGTGATGTATTCCTCTTTGCATTTGAGTGTTCTGGAGCGCTAGTGTTCAAATGATACAGTTTGCTGTTTGTAGTTGTTTGTCACTTCCCTCCTCTACGCGTCTTTGTAACAAATTATAAAAAAATGTTCATAAAACTATTATATATCTGTGGAAATTGTTTTATTTAAGTGTATACACACAATATACAATTTAAAAATAATCATTGCATAATAGTATGACTGCTAATTAAATGAAACTATTTTGATGGACTATAATTTGTTTATTCATTTATATTTATACAGTACATGATATAGTGAACTTGCCTAAAATTTAGATAAAATTTGACTTGCAGATCATTAATTAATGGAATACACAACAATTTTGGAATGTAAAATAAGATCAACTTAGAAGTTACTTGAGTTAGGTAAACTAGATTTTGCAAACTTAACATTAAACGGAAAAAAAAGCAGATGGAACAACAGAGCAGAATAGAAAAAACATGGGGGCTGCTAAATTATTAAAATTACCTTTTAATTACATATTTATAATTATTTGATTACTTATTTTTTAATACTTCCAACATCATTATCATAATATTGTTCATCTGCTGAGTTTGCTGTAGCATTTGCTGTTGCATCAACTCTATTTGTTGTTCATCTGCTGAGTTTGCTGGAGCATTTGCTGTTGCATCAACTCTATTTGTTGTTCATCTGCTGAGTTTGCTGTAGCATTTGCTGTTGCATCAAATCTATTTGTTTGGCTCTTTCAGCAGCCTCTTGCATTATAAATACTGCTTCTTGCTCCATTTCCTTCTCTTTCAATTTTTTCTCTCCATTTTTTCTTTGATCATGAGCATAGTCTCATTCGACTTCCTTCTTTTCTTGTCTTGCACATCTTTACTCTTTGTCCTGCAGTACAAATAAGATCAATAAATATTGTCATAGTCAGATCTACATTTTTTTATGATTAAGCATGATTGATTGTTTATGAAGTACTATTTGCCCCCTTTCCCTGGTTCTTTCCTTGTAGCTGAAAGGATTTGTTACAATCATTTCCTTAAGTAAAGAAATGTCTTTACTATCATTCCAGACTACTCTTAAAAAATTAGGATAATATAAAAGAGGTTGAACGACAGGGACTTAAAAAAAAAGAAAATGAAAAAATGTATCCATTCTTGAATTTATGAAATAATATAATATACATATACCTTTTTCTTACTTGAGTCTGCAAAGCCATCTGGATGAGATGAGCAATTACACAAAACAAAAAAAATAATTAAAATATGATATAATTAAACACAATTTATATTATTTTTTCAATTATTTTTTTGGAACAATTTATGTTTTTTCATTATTTTGAAAAACACAGTTACTCGATTTGGGTAGACTACTACTGTAATAAGTTTGAATTGTAGCCCAACAGAGAACTTCTTCAAATTCTGTTTTTATTTGTCTTTTATTTATACTATATTGAAAAAAGTGGGTCTTGGCGGGCCAAAGCCTATTCCTATATTTATTTGGGAAGGCCTTGCCTACACTGTTACAGACCTCTAGGCCTAGGCGGCCTATGTCTCCAGGGCATAGGCTCAGTTTATATGCAGTCTTTGTATAGAGAATCCACCTAAGGTTTATTTACTGTATTTCTTTTTAGCAGAGTTCTGTGAATTTGCACTCTGTGAATGTAAACATAAAACATTTTTCCAAAACTCCTACTCACAAAAAGTCACATGTAAGATTCAAGATGTAATATATATAATAAACCCACAATTTAGTGCTGTTCGCTGATCGGTTAGATTCACCAGAATTTCTATTTTACTAAAATCCTTACGTCATTTTAGCTCCGCCCACTCAGACAACTAACGTTTTCATGAGTACGCTAAACCAATCAAACTAACGTCCTGAACAGAACGTAAGAAAAATTGTCAGTGTAGTTACGCATGCGCACTTTAAAGTGGGCGGAGCTAAGTATGCAAATTATGACGTGTAACGTTTCCGTCGTGACTTCGAAAAGTCCCTAATATCTTAATGGAGACAACAGTTAAGGCTGCCTTTGAAAGGCATAGACGTTAAGTTTCCCTCTTTGTTTTTAATGTTTGAAATAGAAGTTACATTTTGTTTGAAAAAAAAATTCTACATTATGCTAGTTTTTACATGTTAATTTTTTACATTAGAAAGATGAGATTTTTGTTTGTAATATATTTATTATATGATGTTAAGTTATTATGATTTTTGTAATGTATGTTACTAATTGTATAGCGCCTTTTTTCAGCTACGAAGCGCTGTAAGCGTCTCTCCACAATACGTCAGAAACATCCCCCGAGTAAAGCTTGCATAGAACCAAACCCATGTGAGCTAACTTAACTAATGCAATAAAGCAGTACAAAAATAAGAAAAGGAACTATTGAAAAGTGTGTTTTTAGATGTGCTTTGAATTGCCCAAGCGAATCACAAGATCTGAGAGAATTAGGCAGACCATTCCAAAGTAGGGCAGCAATTGAATGAATTGTCATCAATACGTTTATGGTAGACCGGTCCAACAAGTTGGATAGAGAATATCTTGTTAAGCGCACATGGGTACATAGTGATATGTACAAAGGGCAGACACCAGAAAGTGATTTGAAAACAAAGAGGAGAAGTGTAATTCTTTCCTGTACAGGCAACCAATGGAGATCACGAATAAGAGGAGATGTATGTGTACGTGACTTACAAGAAAAAATGAGCCTAGCTGCAGAATTTTGAAGTTTTTGCAAGGTGTATAAATCTTTTTTTAACTGGCCACTGTACAGTGAATTGCAGTAGTCCAGTATTGAAAGAACCAGTGCCCTCACAGCAGCATGGTAGGTATGCCTATCTATGAACTTCCTGATTCTCCATAAGTTTCTTAGATGGAACTTAACAGCCCTGCTAACATTAGATACTTGTAGGCTGAGACCTGCACTCCAAGATTTCGGACACTTCCGGAAGGATGGATAATGCTGTCCCCTATTAACAGGCTTAAACCTTTATCATGATCTAAGGAAAGATGACTCTTAGAGGCACAAACCAAAAACTCAGTCTTTTCGTTCAGCTTCAGGTTGTTGCCTAACAACAACCACTGCTGAATATCAGTAACACAGAGGGATAAGGTCTGTAAAGTGGAGACAGTGCTGCTAGCATTGCTGGAGTAAAAAAAGTGACATAAAGTTGAAGATCATCTGCGTAAAAGTGGAATTGAATGCCATAATGATTGTTATTAAAGTGTTTAATTAATTCAAATAGTTTTCATTGTTAAATAAATTATAATTAATATAAAATAATTTTATTAAAAATGATTAAACTTTTTTTTTTGTAAAATATTTTATTGGTAGTAATTAGCATTGTGATTGATATGTCGTTTCTGTAGACTAGAGTTCTTGGGAGACGCCATCTTAGCTTATTTGATTACATGTCACCTGCAAAACAACCACCAATCACGGAGCGGGCAAATGTAGAGACTGAATAAACATGGGCTAATAACTGAACCTTGAGGCACTCCATAAAGTAGGGGATATAGGGAAGAAAATGAACCAGAAATAGAAACCCTACTACTTCTACCGCATAGATAGGACTTAATCAATTCAGGGGCTCACCCAGTTTTGCCAAAAACAGATTCAAGACGTTTAACCAGAATGCAATGATATACTGTGTCAAATGCAGCAGAGAGTTAAAAAAGGACAAGCATGGCACCCTTGCCTTTGTCAACAGCAAGAGCGATGTCAGTATAAACTTTTAGTAGAGCAGTTTCAGTTCTATGGTGACACCTATATGCAGACTATAATGGTTCAAAGAGTTGGTAATCTTCTAAATATTTATTGAGTTGGTTAATTATCACTCTTTCAATCAGCTTTGAGCAAAATGATAAATTGGAAACAGGACGACAGTTCATCAAGATAGCATTATAAAGACTGGGTTTGTTTCAGTATGGGTTGGACAACAGCATGTTTAAGGGAGTGAGAAAAAAATCCAGAAGACAAAGATGAGTTAAAAAGTTCAGTCAGTATTGGGAGTACAGATGATAAATGTTGTTTTAGCAACCACACAGGAAGTGGGTCAAGGCAGCACGATTTTGATGGACTCCGACCAATCACTTTTGAGATATCCTCATGAGAAACAGTTTTAAAGTTGGACAAAGAGTTAAGTTTAGTAGAGGTAGGAGAACAATGTTCCACACAGGCGGGTGACTGAATTGTCTCAAGGTCGTTGCGAATATCAGCAATCTTCTGGCTGAAAAAGTCAGCAAATTTGTTTGCCAGAATCTTCGGATAATTACGATCAATTCTTGGGTGTAATTTTAAATGAACATATTATACTGAACAATTCATATTGACTTCGTTGCAAGAAAAATCTCTAAGTCGATAGGAGTAATTGGCAGATTCAAACAGTATTTCCCTACGAACATTTTACTTGCTCTTTACAATACCGTCATTTTGCCTTACCTCCAGTATGGTAATATTATATGGGGAAGTGACTATCCCTCAAACCTTGTTAAAATATATAACCTCCAAAAACGTATTATTCGTATAATTAGATCCTCACCATATAGGTGCAATGCTGAAACATTATTTCATCAACATAATCTTTTGAATATTTATGACATTATAAGGTACAAGTAGGATGTTTTATGTATAAACATACCCATGAAATGTTACCAAATGTGTTTAAGGATCTACTTCAGTACAAAGGTAATTTTCATAACTACCGGACAAGGCAATGTAATAGGCTTCGTATTCCGTTGGTTAGGCTGACTAAAAGCCAATTCTCAATTTGTGTCCATGGCCCGCATGTATGGAACAATATTGATAGTAAACTAAAAACATCAAATACTCTTAAGACTTTTAGTAAACTCCTAAAAAAGGAAATTATTTCAAATTATCAATAGGTACTTTTATGATCTTTTTTTGTTTGTTTGTTTGTGTGTTTTAAATTTCTGTATTTGTATTTGTTCAAGGGACAGTGGAGAAAAGCCTAGGCTTCTGAACCAGTCCCTCACCATTGTATGTTGTTTTTTGTTGTCTTTGGTGAAATAAATGTTGATTGATTGATTGATTGATAGTACTAGTAGTATAGGCCATTGAATTGTTTTCATTTTCCCCTACCGCTAAAATAAGACTAACTAGGCCTATGTATTATTTCACTCTGTGCAGACCCCATAAATTGATAATGTTGCAGGGATCCTAATTTTGGAATGAAAATTACACAGGGACAATTTATTTTTTCTTACATTGGTTGTACCATGGAGTTGCTGTGTTTTGCTATTCTGTGTGATAAAAGACAGGGCCTACTCTATGTCGAGGACGAACTATAACTGAAAGACGAACTATAGCTGAAATTATGCATGACGTCAACATACGAAGCCACGCCCCTCGGATGAACCCGTTGTATTTAGCAACTACCGGGCGAACTGTTTTTCCGGGAAGTTTGAGGCAGTGGCGTTTGGTTGCGCTATAGATTCAAAACATTACCTTCCAATGACAGTAATTAAATAATGGTGACAATAATAATGATGATGATGATGATGATGATGAGGATGATGATGATGATGACAACGAATAAACTATAGTAAACATACAATTCGCCCTCCAATT